CGCATATAAAAAGTTAGAAAAAATTTTTTATTCAATTATGACGATCATCACCAAATTCGGGTTTGTCCACCATGCTGATAAATGCCGTATTTTCTTATTTACGATTTATTTGTTTATAATAATACGTGCGTACAACAAATATTGATTTTCGAAAACGAGTATTCTTTCTTTTAAAAGAAAAAAAAATGGACGAAGAAATAGATATAAAGGTTTTATATAAACAACAGATTTTTTTCATAAAAATGTTCTCATTTGAGTTAATTCTTCGTGGCCTTGAATTATCCCTCAAGGATTTCATTAAAAACCATCTTCCTATTACTTCCAATTATAAAAATGTCAAAACATTTGATGAATTTTTAGATTCCTCAAACGATCGAATAATCAATGAGAGAAAAGGCGAAATATTAGATTATTTCATTCACCAATTCCTTCTCAAGAATGGAATCATTTCATGCATCAACAAAACTCTTGTATATATTAACCCGCATAACATGCCAAGAATCTCTGACGGGAACGTTGACCTCCATGGTCAATACAAGATTCTGATATTCTTAATCCAGAGTAAATGGTAAGAATCTCTTGCTAAATACATGTTGCTAGTGATGCTATTTGAGCATTTGCAATGACCTTTTTGACAATCTGATGTGTAAGTTACGCTGCAAGGAATGAGCTATGAGGCTGGCGGTGTTCTAGGCACTGAGGGGAGTCCCCAGGTTGATGATATAATTTCCGTCAGTGTTAACTTGTAGAATCGCCTTGTGTAGACATTTAGATTGATCCAACATCGTATTTACACATTTTTTATTTTTAGGTTAAATCCGGGAGCAAAAATTATGGTTAGAGATATTCGAGAATTTCTTAATACTGTTCGAAACAAACCTGAATCAAATATCGGATTCTTCGTCTCAAATGTTGAATTAAGCGAATATGCTTATGGAGAATTACAAGATTCAGAAATTAAGGATCGAATTTGTGTATGTTTCTACCATGAGATTGTTAGCAAGATCAAAGAATATGCCCAGATTATGCAAGAAAAGAAAGAAGTGATTGAAAGAAAAAATGAAATAAGAAAGAGAAAATTAATCGATCTTGAAAATGAGAACAAATTTTTAAAGTCTGAAATTAAAAAGATTAAGGAAGATAAACATGAAAAGTACGAAGAATCTATTGAGAAACTCCATAAAAAGATTGAAAAGCTTGAAAATCAAAATTTTGATCTTGAAAAAAAGATCGAAAATCAGGATCGAAAACTCGATTTGATCTTAAGCAAATTAAAATAAGTATAGGAATAATTAACGAATGATTTTTTTTATGCATATAATTTTATTTATTTATTTTTTTTTTAAAAAAAATAAATAAATAAAATAAATAATTTAGATGATGTGATTTGACTTTGATTTTTTTTTATAATAGATGTTTTTAACAATATGTCTTAGAATATTGAAATGATTGCAAATTTGAAATTAGATTATGGATGAAAAACAGTAGTTTCGATGGAGGGAATAAATAATAAATTTATTGTCGCTATTGCTGATATATCACAAAGATTCAAATTTCTACGAAATATTTAAAAAAATAATGCAATTTAAAGGTATAATTTGAATACTTTATGTTTATTTTTTTTTAACATTTTAATTGCTTTATATCATTTAACAAGCCAAAGGTAATCTATTTTTGATTGCTTGGAGACGAAGATCTTCTCATGAATACAATTATTTAGAACTTCGTTATCATTTTGGTGGAGGTTTTTCACTTGAATTTCAAACTTCTAAAACGTTACATCCCTTGTATGGTGAAATAAAATAACTTTCGATTATTTTTAGACTTCGTGGTTACCTTAAAGATGTTCCCGAGTCTATTAAGTGTTATGACATTACGAATACTGAAATATTTTGTGAGGAAAATTTAGTCGCTCATTCCGGTTCTCAGTTTCAAGTTTATTTTCCACAAAAGATTTAAGATTATTTATAAAGATATGAGGGGAAAGAGAAATTTGCGTACCATTAATAATATCACTAATGGCTCTACCGATTATTATCGAATTTATAAATCAAATTTAGGTCCTGAGAATGTTAATTATGGTGAACCTATGGAAATAGATTAAATTAGTGTTTGTTTTTTTTTTGTTTTTTTTTCCTCTACCGAGGTTTTTTTTATTTTTTTTTTATTAAATATTTTTTTTAATAAATATATGTGATGTATATAAATTAAAATTATAAATTTTAAAAAAAATAAATAAATAAGAAAATTTAAATATTATTAATCCTCATCCTTCGCTATTAAGAGAATCTTTATCGACAAGATAAATTTGATAATATTTATGTATTAGTATTTGTCTTAAGAAAATCAATTTTAAATATTTTTATTAGAAAAAAAAAATAAATCGTTACAGATTTTAAATTTGATAAATAGGTATTGAATGATGAGGAAATTAATGGATCTAAAATTTTCAAAATCATTCAAGAGAAAATTGTGTTTTTGAGTGATTAATTTAAGTTCTTTATCGATTATTTCAAATCTATCTGTCGTGATTTGATGTTTATCGTTATGTAGTTCGTGAATTTCTTTAACGTAATCTGATAAAAATTCGAAATGTTCGTTTTGTGCTTGTTTATTCACATTGAGTTCCTGTATAATTTTAGAAAAGATTTCTGAGATTTTTTTGGTGTTTTCAATATTGTTAATTTTGATTTGGTTAATATCAGAAATGGTTTCTTTTAAGTTATTAGAAAGAGAGGTTGTGAGATCGTGGTATTCTGAAAGCATATTTGTGAGTTTTTTTGCATCTTTTAGATGGTTCAAGAGAATGGTTTCGATTTGTTTCGTTCGAGTATGAATTGTGGATACGTAGTATGTTAATAAGCCAAATAAAACAAATAAGAAGCTAAAATCGTTGATAATTTTTCATGGTAACTAGGGGTCTGCAAACCGGGCTCGTGCCTGTGCCCAACAAAAGGCACAGGCATGGGCATGGGCACGAAGATTCAGGCATGGGCATGGGCATAAGAATTTGCCATGGACATGGGCATAGGCACAAAAATTTGGCATGGGTATGGGCACAAAGATTTGGCATGGGCATGGGCACGGGCTGCCTGGTACCTTTTTGGCATCTTTTTGCCTAGCATATGTGCCATGCCATAATAGTGCCTGGCATATTGTGCTCATGCCCATAAAATGCCTGGCATTTGTGCCCATGCCCACAATAATGCCTGGCATTTTTGTGCCTAAGGCATGGGCACGGCATGAGGCACTAGTGTATGGCCTGGTGCCAATGTGCCCGGCATGCCAACTTGCAGACCCCTAGTAGTGATTATAAAGTTTTTAAAAAATACGTATACATAAACTATATTAATATATTAGTTATTTTAAAGTTCAAAGCTATAATTTTTAAATTAAAAAAATTTAAGAGGGTAACTTATTTTTGACCAGCACTGTATCACGATTATTATTAACGTATTAAATCTAAAAATAATTTATTAATAATTTTATTAACTAGTTGTGATCTGTGTACGTAATCAACTGAATACCTAATTGTTAAGTTTTAAATTGAAAAACTTAGCATTACTGTATATATTGAATTTGATTTGTCGGACAAATTGGATGACATGTCACTATAAGAAAAGTTTGTACAGTTATTGTAGGCGTTGTCCAAAAAAATTAGGGATGGATCGGTCCGTCCCGGTCGTCCCAGTCCCTATAAGACCGATTTTATAATGTTTATTAGTCCGGTCGGTCCGTCTTTTCGGTTCTAGAATCGGTCTTACGACTTGTAATTTTTCAATCCATAGCATTAAAATTTTTATTTATTAGCGTCCAAAATTTTTAAAAATTTATATTATAAAAAATACAGCAATTTATTTATATTATAAAAAATACAGCAACGTAAATATGAATATGTATTTTATATGTGAAGCTAACTTAATATAAAAAATTAAACACAGGGATGTTTAACTATCCAATTCACAAATTCCTTTTTGAAGCCAGATTCGCTTCTAATCTAGCTCTTGTATTATTTTTTTTATTAAGGTTCGAACATCATTTATTTCATTAGAAATTGGAACTTCGACACTTATTTTATCACACTGAGAGATAGAAGCAAGAAGTTTCTGTTATCATGGTTAGAAAGTGTTATGAAAGTTTTATTATTATTACTATTATTTGCATTGTTTCCTTTCTATTAATTTATCAGCTTTCTTTATCAGAGTATTAGTCATCATTAGATCATAATCAGGACCAGGACCGGACGATTCCGGACAGAGGACTGAGAATTATTCGATCCTCCCTAAAAAAAAATAGTCGGAACGGAGTCCATTTTCCGAAGGGTTTACGGGATGTAAAAAAATAGAAAGTTTTGATTGAAAATTATCGTATAAAAAAACGGATAAAAAACGCAATCATCCAATAAACATCCTTTAAATGCTCGAAATGGAGTCGATTTTCTGAATAAAAAATCGAATAATTTCAGAATTTTCGAACAATTCCAGGAGATTTTTTTTTAT